TGGAAAGAACATAACGAAGTTGATCCCAGGCTCTTCTGCTTAAAAACACTGTGAACTTGCCATGTTCAGCTGATGCAAAATATAAAATTAATATACTACAAAAGTATTCTCTATCACTTTCAAAAGTTCATATTAAATACTTAAAGGGGTATAAATTTTAAACCCTCACATGTTAAATAAGTACAAGTTCTTATTATTAGATTCTAACAGCTTTCTTTATCTTATTTGGTATTTAAATTGAACAAATATCAACTGTATGTGTGAAATAACTGAAAGTAATGCAGACCTACTTTTTTCCATAAACTGTACACCTAATAGCCCACTAATAGCCATTTCAAATCACCATAATGAAAATATGAATGACAGTAAAAGCACTGAACCCAAACCAATTGCTATTTTGGAGAATTTCTTACTGAAGTGAGTTGGATTGAATAAGTAGATATTTGTTTCACAGGAACAAATGGTTAAAATGAGGGATAACTTCATCAGTAATTTTGTAAAACTATATTTAAAGATGATCATTTATGTCTTAAGAAATTTAGAAAAAAGATGGAGAAAATGTTTATTTTATGTAAAATTACATTTTGATAGCTATAACTAGGTTTAGTAATTGAAGATCACCTCATTCCTTTTTTAAAATAAATCTCATTTAATCTTATCTTTCTTACACATTACTTATTGCCAATACAATTTATTTAACATCTTTCATATTCTGTAATTCTCCTATTCAAACATTATATGTGCTTTTTTTCTCTCTACCATTCCATCTCCAAATGTTTCCATTTAAAATTTTTAAAGAGAATTTAAATAAAAGATAACTCATATACTATACAATGAATCCAGATGGAAAGTGCAATCTATTTTTACAAAGCAATATTGAAACTATATTAAAAATGCAGTGGAATTTAACCAAAGCAGTATAGACAGATTTATGTGTACTATAAATTGCAGTCATCAAAGATGAAGAGTAGTTCAAAATAAATATACTAGCTTTTAAACTCAAGAAGCTAAAAGAAGTAAAACTAAAGTAAAAAGTAAAAGAACAGATTTTATACAGAAAAAATACAGAAATTAGTGAAATGAAAAGCAAAAATAAAAACTGCTTCTTTGAAGATACAACAAAAATAACAAATATTTAAGTAGCTCTGAAAAAAGTTAAGAAAATTAAAAAAAACAGTATCAGGGAGAGAAAAGGCACAGAGATTTAACAGAGATTAAACACATACGAGGTAATACAGGTGTCTCAGTGGTAAAGAATCCTTTTTCTAATGCAGGGGATACAGGAGACCCAGGTTTGATCCCTGGGTGGGAAAGATCCCCTTAGGAGGAAATGGTAACCTGCTTCAGTATTCTTGCCTGGAAAATCTGACAGATAGAGGAGCCTGGAGAACTATAATCCATGTGGCTATAAAGAGTGGGACATGACTGTGTGACTGAGCACACACATTTTTAATGCATAATAACAACTTTCAGGAATTCCTTTCTAAACTTTGATGTATTTGTCACACTTCCATTAATTACCTCAGAAACCTTTTCCCCCCAAACCACTTTCCCCCAAAGCTAGATTATACTTTTACATTTTACTACCAGATTTTATTTATTTTCATCAACTGTCAATTTCTACTTTTTCTCATGTGAACACTAATTCTCTGAACTTACTAAAGTAGATTTTTTTTAAAGTTCTTAGCTTTCCCTAATTTCCTCTTTCTTTTTTCTTAGCATAATCTGCACAATAGTAAGGGGCTGATGCAGTGCAGAATCACGACAAGGAAGAAGAGTGGGAAGAAAGGGAAAGATGAAGAATTAAAAATCATCCTTAATGAATGGGAAGAAAGTCAAAGAAGCTAATCATTGGGTTAACCAAAACCTGGCCAAATATTTTGAGCTGATAGGTTTTACTCAGTTGCAATAAGTTAATGAATGACAAATTTATGGTTATTCTGGGCTTCCCTGGTGGCTCAGCTGGTAAAGAATCTGCCTGCAATGCTGGAGATCTGGGTTTGATCCCTGGGTTGGGAAGGTCCCCTGGAAAAGGGAACAGCTACCCACTCCAGTACTCTGGCCTGGAGAATTCCATGGATTGTATAGTCTATGGGGTTGCAAAGAGTCAGACACGAGTGTCCGACTTGCACTGAGTGACTTTCACTTTTCGTACCTATGGTTAATTTGATATATTCCAAATAAGCATTTAATAAAATTAAAACTTTTCCCAATAAAACTTTATAGTTGTTATTGAAGAAAACTTCTTAAACTCAGCATATTATTGTTGCTTTTATAATCATTATTTTAAAATAAAAATGAATATATTGCCTAGTTTTCAGATTAGCCAACATCTCTAATTTGATTTGAATACTTTCTTTTTACTGATTTTCAGGGGCTCAAATATACTGGTTCTTTATTATCTAATTGAACAAACAAATAAAATATTATCCCTAGTATGGATTTATTGAATTAGAGTCTCTGATAGGCAGAACCTAAACTTAAACAATTTCTTCAATGATTCTGATACACACATTTTTGCCATCTAATATCAGAAGACAGGTAATTAACTACAGTGTTCAATATGAGGCAGAAAGAATTCAGGACTCTGGAAAGCTGTGAGAAGTAGTATGGACACACATAGTTGAGAGACATTAATTCTGACAGAGAAAACTTCTAAAGGCATATTATAAAGTCTGTGAAGAATTAATACAAGGTAATAAGAGCCATTTATTGAATACCTCACTCATGATAAGAAAAAGTTTCCCTTGAATTTGTCTTATAGAATAAACCTGATATGTTAAGGCAGATTTCCTGATTTTTCTAAAGAGAACATTTCAATTTCCTACTGTTGAGTAATATTTAACTATTAAACTAGCCAATGTCTGACACTGTAGTATTTAAAGGCATTGTCTTTAATGTCATATCAGAACTGGCACTAAGAGACGTTAGTAGTCATTCCCCGTCACTTGTTCTAACAAGTTAAAATTGTAATAACAATGTAGTGAAACGAAATAAAATAGAAGTAAATATGGAAAACATCTTCATAATTTTGAAGTGTAGAAAACGCACTTTAGAAACACAAATGCTCTAAGATTCAAATCGAATAGACAATAATGAAGATTAGAATGATAAAACAAAAAATTAGAAAGACAGTTTTAAAAGAAGTAATAATTTTTGAGAAAATAGCTACAGTATATAAAAAAAAACATTAGGGACATTTCTGTAAATTTGCTTTAAGAGGACAAACAACACATTAAAAAAATGCAAAATAGCAATAGGAAATCAAATTAAAGTAATCCATATCTATGAAGAAATGCCTCAGTATCACTGTTAATAATGGAAGTACAAAGTAAATAATAAGGGGATGCCAATTTTACTTATTAGGAGGAAAAATGTAAAAATCAATGGGCAAAGCAAAGTAGAAATTGGCAGTTTCATCAAAGAAATGATTTGATGTTTATTTCAATTTAAATGTATACATAGACTTTGGCCCAGTAAATCAACTCATAGGCAAGTTTTGTACATTTGCACAAATATAAATATATACCTTATTACAGTAAAAAGCTGGAAACAACTCAAAATGTCAGAAATTTTAGCAAGACAAATAGCCCCTTGTGATGGTTAATTTATATGTCAATTTGACTGATCATAGGATGCCCAGAAAAATATTATTTGGGATATGTCTATGAGGGTGTTCCTAGATGAAATTAGTATATCCTATTGCTTCCATTTTTCTAGAAATCCCTGACTAATATATCACACAATTAGAAGCTACATTCCCCAGGCTTCCTTACACCTAGAGGTAGTCTTTTAACTAAATTCTGGCCAATCATGTGTGAATAGAGGTGAAATTGGCCATTCTGGGCACACATCTAAAGAGAAACTGCTCATTCTTCAATTCCTCTGCCCCCTTCTCCCTTCCTGTGGTCCTTATTGTGGAGAGGGACCAATTTGTCTTGTATAAGTAAGGAAAATAAAGGATGGCAGACAGCAAAATAAATAAAATCTGCATGCCTAAAAACTTTCTTGGAGAGAGTCATTAAGTCCTCTTGGGACTTCTGTGTGAGAGAAAAACATACTTTCTATCTGCTTGCTGCTGCTGCTACTGCTGCTGCTAAGTCGCTTCAGTCATGTCTGACTCTGTGCGACCCCAAAGACAGCAGCCCACCAGACTCCCCCATCCCTGGGATTCTCCAGGCAAGAGTACTGGAGTGGGTTGCCATTTCCTTCTCCATTCTATCTGCTTAAGCCACTGTTACTTGGTTCTGGTTTAAGAGGCTGAAGCGATATTCTAACTAATACAATAGTAAATGCGTATTCACTGAACACGTGACACTGCAATGTGAAAATATACCAGTTTTCAATGAAAAAATGTTGCCTGCCATATCAGTAAACAAATGATGTTCAGCCATCAATCCATCACATTACAGCCACCCAATGGTGAGCCCAGAGCAAACAGGAGAGAAACAGGATGCCCACCACCTCCCAGTCAACTGCTGCAGCCACCCCAGACGATGCAATAGAGGAGACTAAGGATGAGAAAGCATGGATACCAGCCCCAGATAACTGAAGTGTGTATCAAAAGAATAATTTCAATGAGTCCAGACTCTTGCATCTTTTCATACAAAGAAAAGCACTAAATTCTTTAATTTGAGATATCTGGTTTTCTCTAACCAACAGTAATCATTCCATGTTCCAACTACCTGGTCTTTGTTGCAAAAACTGCTATATACCCTGGCTCCTCCCTTACCTCTTGGAGCAGTCAACTCAGAGCCATCTGAGACACTGTGTCCTGGGCTTAAGTCCTCAGTTTTGTTGCCAAATAAAACATAATTCTCAACTTTTAGGTTGTGCATTTTTTTCAGTCGACATACTATAGACACTTTTATCAGAATTCAAATACAAGTCCACATTCAAACCCAATAAATCAACATTCTGACATCTCCAAAATTCTGATAAAGATACATATTGCAAGCAAATTAGATTTCATCTGAGTTACATTTTCTTTTTTTACTAACCTCCAAAGTATGAGCCATCTGTCAGCTTCATTTCTTTACTGGATTTTGTGATGACACCAGCAACACCATGTTGAATGAAATACATTTTTTTACCCACAGCTCCTTCTCGTATGATATAATCTCCAGGTTGAAACACCTCAAATCTCAACTTGCTCAGCATGGCAGTCACGAAATTAGGATCCGCATTAGCAAAAAGTGGCATTGTAGCCACTAGTTTTCGGCAGTTGAAGTTGACTATCTCCTAAAGATGACAAGAGTTAAAAAAAAAAATTAAGAGAGATTAATCATATCAGGAAGCAAAACAGGTGCTTAAATTAAGATCTCTATATAGTATAACATTGTAATTTGAATTAAGAAACAAAAATACATAAATTCTAATAATTCACATATTTCTTCAAAGTCAGGGATTATGTTTTATTATTGCATTGAAATGCTGTATTCCTAGCACATAGAATAGTATAGGCAAGTATTAAACATCAATAAATATTAATTAAATATATACAAGTTTACCTTTTATTACTTCCCATTCCTTTATCATTCTTTATACAAAATTAGAATTAAAATGTGGAAGGGTTTTAGTCTCCCTTTTATCTGTTTTTATGAAGAAAAGAAGCCACATCACTTCCTATTAACCTTGATGTTACTGCTTCTGTGGCCCATTATGTTGAACAATCTAATTTGTACCTACTGACTGGAGTTCTGAAACAAGAGCCCAGCTGCCAATAAAATGCCAACAGCATTCTGATATTTTTTCTTAATGTCATTCATATTATGGGAAGGAGACTTGATATTGTTCACATTACACAAAGGAGACTCTAATTTGACTATAATCTATAATTATAAATTCAATTTGTTTCTGCGTTAGATCAGAAAATAACCCTTTCAAAACCTCCTGGGTTATCATTGGGAGTTTTGGACTGGACAGAGGCCATATTTTCCTTTTCCTAAATTGCTTTATGTATGGGATCGGGTCTGTTCTAAATTAGAAGATTTATACACCAGATTAGACACAGTGCTATCACTATGAACCAAAACAAGGATATGGGACCAACCAGTTTTAATGCTGAAAGTTAGATATGGAACAGAATAAACAATGGGAATCTAAATTTCACTTCAATGCCATTTCTCAGAAATACCTTCTCCAATGTCCCACCTCCACCCCAAAGAACAGGGTTGGACCTGAATTTGTGAGCATGCTTAAGAGACATATAAAAATGAAGTCACCTCTGCCAAGAGACAGAAAAAGGGAAAAAAGATACAGAGGTATTAAAAGAGAAGGAGATCTGAGTTCCTGCTTTGGGAATACTTATAGATTCCAATATGGGGAAAGAAACTTTCCTCAATCTTCTTCATAAAATAATTTAATATTTGTTATTCCAGGATAGTTAAAAAGTTCCAGTTGATGCAGAAGGCACAGAATTTTAAGTCCAACATAGAAAAGAAAGTGTTTCATCCTCAACAATATGCAGTGAGTTCAGCAAAGCAGATAAGTATCTCTAATAGTGGAGTTTCATGGAAACTGGTAAAATATTTAAAAATAGCAGCAATAACCAGAAAGTGAACATAAAGACAAAAACAAGAGAAGGATATTACATGTGGTACTTGGTACAGCATCATCCAAGCTCTATAATGCACAGTAGACATTTGGGTGGCTATATCAAGGGGCATTTGTGATCAATTTTAATTGGTGTTGAAGAGCTGTGGTTGGAGTGGGGGACTACAGTAAGTTCAGCACATAGTAAGTGTTCAATCAATATGCATAATGTATGAGTAGACAGAAAGTGAAGTCGCTCAGTCGTGTCCGACTCTCTACGACCCCATGGACTGTACCCTAGCAGGCTCCTCCATCCATGGGATTTTCCAGGCAATAGTACTGGAGTGGGTTGCCATTGCCTTCTCCAGGGGATCTTTCTGGCCCAGGGATCGAACCCGGGTCTCCCACATTGTAGATAGACACTTTACCATCTGAGCCACCAGAAGGAAGGGATAAAAAAGAAGAAAAGAAGGAAGGAAGGAAGGGGGCTAAAAGGGAAAGAAGGAAGATGGAGTTTTGGCATTGGAAAAGAAAATGCTCACAAAACTTGGTTTATATTCCAATTGGGAAGTGGCCATTTAAAATTCTTAGAATGCTTTCTCAAGTCAATAGCTTGAGAAGCAAGCCTTATGTATATAAAAATGTGGTTTTTCACTATTAAAAATATTGAGTCTTCCATACAAAAAAACACATGAAGATAAAGGTGAATCATTCAAGGTACCCAAGGTAACCACATGAATTAAAAGGAGACAGAAATATATTATTAAAATGATCAGACTGCATGTTTGAAAGTTAATAACATTATGTGTAAAATGACAAAAAAGTATCCTGCATTGGAAATTGAAAATAAGCCAGGCTCAGGCTGCAGAGAAAATAAGTTTTCAAACAAAATAATAAAATAATCTTTTCATCTATATTCTTTGATTTGAAGTATACAGACTTTTCTCTTCATTGTTTTTTCACTTTTATTTTAGAAAATAATTGAAAGCATATTTTACAAGAAATTAGACTGGTCTTTATTTATATAAGCAATTCTTTTCTATGATGCATCTCATATTCAGGTGCACCACTGGAGCTGCCTTGATTATATTACTGTGAAAATAATTTCATATTATTGTTAATTTCAAGGAATCCATTCATTTTCTCTGCCTCTGTGGATCTTTTACCTCCTTGTGAATTCTTTCTGATTTAAACAGCAAATTCTAATAGAACTTTGACAGAAAAAGACAGAATGGGACAGAAAGTTATTGGCATTTAAAAGCTCTTCCTCTTCCCATGAAGTCTGTTTGCTTTGAGGGTATATAGTTTAATGGACTTCCCTGGTACCTCAACTGATAAAGAATCTTCCTGCAATGCACGAGACCCCGGTTCGATTCCTGGGTTCCTAAGATTCCCTGGAGAAGGGATAGGCTACCCACACCAGGATTCTGGCCTGGAGAATTCCATGGACTACAGTCCATGGGATTGCAAAGAGTTGGACACAACTAATTGACTTTCAGTTTAATGGAAACAATCAAGTGAGTCTTGAGGTTAGCAAAAATTTTTAAAGATCTTCTCCATCAACCATATTTCTTTATAGCACATTTTCTTAATGAGAACATATTTAGTTAAGTTATTAATATCACTCTATTAGTAAAACAAAACTTTTAACACTCCTCCTCTTTAATCACAGGTCCTTATAGCACATTCACTTAAATAAAACACACAGTTAAGTTACTCTACTCTCCATCCAGATTCTTTATGGCAGTTGTTCTAATGAGAGTTTTTAGCAACATGTCTGGCTTGAGTTAGGAGCATTGTCTATACACAATATACTGAGGAACATTCACTCCCTAAGGGAATTGGACACATGGCCCTGACCTTGAGATAATAAAGATGACCCCATGGACCCACCAGGTTCCTCTGTCCATGGAATTTTCCAGGCAATGGAGTGAGTAGCCATTCCCTTCTACAGAGGAAATTCACAACCCAGGGATCAAACTTGGGTCTCCCACATTGCAGGCAGATTCTTTACCATATGAGCCACCAGTAAAAATGTTAGTCGCTCAGTCATGTACGACTCTTTGTGATTCCATAGACTCTAGCCCACCAGGCTTAATCTATCTCAGTGATTCCTCTTTTGCTCTATCTCAGTGATTCCTCTGTCCATGGAATTCTCCAGGCAAGAATACTGCAGTAGGTTGCCATTCCCTTCACCAGGGGATCTTCCTTACACAGGGATCGTACCCAGGTCTCCTGCATTACAAGCAGGTTCTTTACCAACTGAGCCAGCAGGAAAGCCATGAGGGAAATCCACAAGGGAATCAGACACATGACCCTGACTTTGATGACAAAGTACTGCAGATTACTAAGTTTACTTCATAACTTAAAAAAAGTAAAATTATTTCTTCCCCAAGTATCTTATCATACCAGATAGTATGGGAGTGCTAGAAAACAAATAAAGAAACAAGCAAAAACATCAACAAAAAGCCCACACAATGAAAAGGATATTTCAGAGGCCAACTAAAAGAGCTACCAAGCTAGTGCTGTAACAACTTGAGTAACAAAACAAATAATGTAATATGGGTTTAACCTGAATATGAGCCTGAAAAAAAAAAAGTGAAAGAGTTAGTTACTCAGTCATGTCTACCTCTTTGTGACTCCACGGACTGTAGCCCACCAGGCTCCTCTGTCCATGGGATTCTCCAGGCAAGAATACTGGAGTGGGTTGCCATTCCCTTCTCCAGGGGATCTTCCCCACCCAGGGATGGAAGCTGGGTCTCCTGAATTGCAGGCAGATTCTTTACTGTCTGAGCCACCAAGAAATTCCAAAATATGAGCTTGTACATATATAAATAAATAACTTAGTAAGTTAAAAAGTAGAGGAAAACAGACAAAACTCCTTTTCAAATTCCAAATAAATCAATGTTTATATATTGAAAACACACCATAATATAACAACAAGACAATGACACTGAAAATCCTACATTTGATCTTACTTTGACATGGCAGTTTAAGATACTGAGGAACATTCACTCCCTAAAGGAATAGGACACATGACCCTTTCTTTTTCCGCAGTCCACCCCAATTTTGCTAAAGTACAACAGGATTATTCACGTAACTATAATATGGATATTGCTAAAATGCATGTCTTAAACATACACAAATCTTAGATGAATTTTTGAAATATATATGAACCCATATAACCTCTTGGATCCATGTACAGAACAATTTTTAGAAGGCTTCCTTTTTTCTTTTTCCAATCAAGCCAGAGGTTCTCACTCTTCCGACTTATATCACTATAAGCAGTTGTACTTGAAATTCACACAAATGGCGTCACACACTGCAGAGTGTTTAATGTCTTGCCTCTTTTGCTCATCATCATTTCAGTGTGATTCATCCATGCTGTTGTGTGGCAGCAGTTCTTCCTTTTTCTATTTCAGGCTGTATTTCATTTTGTGACTATGCCACAATTTATTTCTCCATTCCACCTTTCATGACACTTGGGTTGTTTCCAGTTTCAGGCTAATAAAATCAGCCTGTTATGAACATTCTTGAAGTGCCTTATGCACTGATTTTTCTTGCATATTTACCTTATGTTGGAACTGCTGGGTAATTGGATAATCATGTTTTTAACTTTGGTAGATACCGCCAAATGTTTTCTAAAATGATTATATTATTTTCCACATATACCAGCAGTAAGTATATTGAGTTGCCCTATGTCACTG